CAGCATTACTCCTTTGTAACTGTCTGAAAATTGAATTTTTTTATATCACACCATTGCGAAACAGGAGTACCTCGAAGTTATGCTCTGGCTTATTTTTTAAATGAAATTTTGATTCAGCGATTGTCTTAATTTTGGATCACACGTAAGTATGAGTCAATTTGTGCGTTATTTTCCATAGCCTTGAGAAAAACGATGGTTCGAGCTCACAAGCAAGCCTGGGTTTGGCAAGATGAGTGGTGGGGACTCACTATTAAAGACATCCGAGAAATTGAGCGTCAAACTCAAGAAGCTCTAGCTGCAAAGATGGCGCACGCAAATGAGCTTGAAGGCGATGGTCCGAAAAGTCCTTTGCCTACACCGACGTTGAAAGAATCTCCTGTAGATGTTTCTGAACCGGCTCCGGAAGAAAATCCTGGCACTTCGATTACGGATGTCGCACGACTTGTTCTTCGGGTTCCCGATAGAAGGCCGTCACGAGGTGAAAATGAGCCTCGTGTCACTTTTTATTTCAACCGAGTCCTTGGAAATTCGAAATATCATCCTGGAGTAATTCAGTCTTTTCTTTCTCGAAAAAGATCACCCGCTCATGCGAAAAGCCCTAGGGCAGTGTGTGATTGTGAATACTGTATACTTGAATCAGTCTGAAAGTTCTGACGACGCAGTACTTTCCGTCTGAAAAATTTGAGACTACCGAAATATAGTCATGTTTTCCTTAAAATTTGACGGACTCGTGAAATAAGTCTTGACCCGATATTCGTAAGTCCTTTTTACGAAAAGACCACATCCCATCTCATGAGAAATAATTTTGACTGGTTGGCCTTTTATTGAACGCATGCAAAATTGTAACCATATTGACCATTCAGGAATCGAAAACGGGGAATTTCCACTTTGTAACCTTTCAAAATTAGTACATATTTAAAGCTTTTTATAATTTTCTGTTGAAAAATTCCATGATGATTTTCCTCTTTCGCTCCGTGCAGAGGTTAGAGCTTACTCCAATGCATTTATTCCTTGCGCTTACCGACGAAAACAAATGATGCAAAATGTCTTTTAAATGATTCTCTCTGAAGCGAAAAAAATTCTTTCGTGGAGAATATCTTACAAAAAGTTTTGTACATTGTAGAAATACGCTGTGGACGAAAATTAAACAGTACAGTCTCCCATAATTTTATTCATTTTCGGGAAACGTTATATTCATGTGAGCATGACCTGGTAAATTTTGTTCACCTCTTAAATTAATCGATGCCCTGTTTTCGTTTAAAGATCTGCTTTAATAGTGTTTCACCATTTACAGGAAGCCGTAACCTTGAAGAAGACGTTCTCACTGCGAGAATGGAAAGCATTGCTCACGACTCCGATCAAGGATCAGATGCCAGTGATGAATTCTACGATGCCAAGGGTATCTTCATGCCGTCTCCCCAGCTCATGACTTGAATTTTGAAATTGGACATTTTTTGCGCAGATGAGTTTTCGGAAACACTGTCGCTAACTAAGTGGAACTCGATGGAACTTGTTCCTGACGGGGACAACGTGCAATGTTCGGGTCCGAGTTGCCCGAAAAGAGAAGGTGATCTGTGAAAACAAGCTTTTTTGGTCGCTTCGATTTAACGTCAAACCAGTGCAATTTGCGATGTGCCATTTCATTTTATGCGATGAGCATTTATTTATTTATTTTTTGTCGGATTAATAAATGAGGAAAAGCCGCCGGAAAAAGGTTCATGTTTCATTGACTGCTTGGTGGAGGCTCCTCTGGTTTTAGACGTGTGGCTTTTTCTCTCTTCGTTTCGCACTTCAATTTACTTGCAATTGTTTTCCGATATTTTCGCGGGTTATTGCGTTTGCTGCTGAATATTTCGATCTACGTTTTCTATCTCTTGCCTTAGAGATTCAGTTGAGAACGACTTCATTTGAAGGTCTCCCAAATTTATTTTATTAATTCTTTAACTGCAGGTTATGTCTTACAAGGATCACCAATTGTTGGAAGAGAGGAATTGACGGCGAAATACGAGAGGCAAATATCATCAAGAAGTGCTGATTCGTATTTATCACATGGCGTTTCCCCTGTGCCACCGAATTGTTCAACTGTATGTCTGGTTTTGGTGTTCCATGGTGGAAGTGTTCTTGGTAAGTCTTGTCATTCATCAATGTTCAGTCATGTTTCAGGAGCAGTATTTATCTTCGTTGAATTGCCATTCGATTCATTGTTCCCGGCCCTAAATAGACATTATTTACTTGGGAATTGTTTTTTCTTCCAATAGAGGTTTTTCGCGGATTAATTGAAATTTGATTGCAGATTGTGAATTCTTTTTTGAGCATATCCATTCGAACGTAACGTGATGACATCCAGCCTGTAAGTTCCGTAGAAAGTACCGTATTTCGGTCTGATTTCGACTTTTTCTGGTGGAAAATGCTCTGGAGTTAATTTTCTGAGCATGAAATATTAATTTTTTTAACCGGATAATAAAGGCTTTTTGTCGTATTTTTTGGAAAATCGCGATAATTTTGTGTCGTCGGGGTCATTTTAAAATGAGTGTTATATTGGTCGAATATTTTGAAAATACAGTTTCGACATTGGTCCAGCTGTTGTTTTTTAAACTTATCAGAATGAATTAAATTCAAGGTAATCTTCTTCTTTTGTACAGTATATTGACATTTGGAATTAAATGTGCATCTGGCTTTAATTTTGATTACGGCCTTTAAAATTAATGTGAGTTATCGTGAATAGAGACTTATATATGTTATATGTAGAGTAGAGTTACGTTATAACGAGTTAATTCTTGAACTGAAATGTATTCATCAAGTTATCTGTCCAATAAGCGCAATATTAAACAGATTTCGGTATAATTAACTTTTCACTGGTCCAAACGGCTTCCTCGTGACAAGATTTTACTGTTAGGGGCCTAAAAACTGTCCAAAGATTATTTTAATTTGGCCATATTTTTGTCGAACACCAGGTAACGAAAAAGTTGTAAATTGGTCGATTTCGTCATTTCACGATTTCGCGAATTATTACAGGTGTTTATGATCAATGGTTTCAGCTGGATTAATGGCATTAAGAGTAAATGGGTGAAATTGATCGATGGCATATATCACATCCCGTTCGTTGTCAAAATGTTGTTAATTGTGTTCCACAGATGTAAGTGCGGAGATGTCGTCGAAAAAGTCGGATGTTACTACATTCCGTGGGGCATTCGAGTCCGTGATGAGACAACATTATCCGTGCCTTGTTGGACGCGTTGTCGTTCAACTCGTTCCGTGTCCTGCAATGTGCTCTGAAGCCCTCGGATTATTTTCCAGGTAAATAAATATTTGTGTGAGGGCTAATTTATGTTGTTATTTTTAGAATTGCATCAATGAGATTTTGATGTTCGAATGTGATTTGCAGTTTAAGTCCGTATTNATATCACATCCCGTTCGTTGTCAAAATGTTGTTAATTGTGTTCCACAGATGTAAGTGCGGAGATGTCGTCGAAAAAGTCGGATGTTACTACATTCCGTGGGGCATTCGAGTCCGTGATGAGACAACATTATCCGTGCCTTGTTGGACGCGTTGTCGTTCAACTCGTTCCGTGTCCTGCAATGTGCTCTGAAGCCCTCGGATTATTTTCCAGGTAAATAAATATTTGTGTGAGGGCTAATTTATGTTGTTATTTTTAGAATTGCATCAATGAGATTTTGATGTTCGAATGTGATTTGCAGTTTAAGTCCGTATTCCTTCGACGTGTCGCCAACCGCCAGCGATGGTAACGTTTCCATCACCCGAGACGCCATTCCCATCGGCGCCGTGCCGCTTTTCATGACCAATTCGCCGGAATATCACGATGCAGTCTCCAGAGTCATTTCACGAGCCAATTCAGTCTATCACGAATTTTTGCGGAGTGAGGAAGGAGTCGGTTTTAGTGGCCAAGTTGTGATTGTGGGAGATTCCGCGGGAGCTATTTTTGCCTACGATGCTCTGTGCGGACATGAACACGAGCCAATTCAGTCTATCACGAATTTTTGCGGAGTGAGGAAGGAGTCGGTTTTAGTGGCCAAGTTGTGATTGTGGGAGATTCCGCGGGAGCTATTTTTGCCTACGATGCTCTGTGCGGACATGACCGGCCTGAGAAACGACTGAGTTCGGAGAGCATTGATAAGGATGGACTTCATGAGCAGCAACACTCAAAGGTAATGATTTTTTTGTCGATTGTCAAATAGTGTTGATGTCTGGGGGACTTCCGATTGATCTTTCAAGTAGAAAGATGATCCCGAAAATTTCAAGTTGGTATGCCGCGGGAAAGACAGCTTTGTTTGTGTGTTTCAAATTCTGGGGAAAGCGTGGAACCAATGCGTCATATTTACTGGTGAACACCGTATGGTTGAAAGATTCAAGTAAATTGCGTGATGCAGTGACTTTGTAACATTTAATCTTCCATTTTACAGTATTTGATGACTGTTACGTTTTGAAATGCTGTCAGGTTTTATATGATGATTTGGCAGTGCTCATGCGAAAAATAACTGAAAAGTTTTTACTTCGATCATGCATTGAATTGAAAAAATGTTTTCCCGAAAAAAATTCCAAAATCATGAGCTTTACATGATTTTTATTGTTACAATCACACATATTATAGAAATAACCAATGTCGCTCCCAAGTGGGACAGCCTTCGTTCATTTACGGTCTATTTTGATGGGGTTTTTTCATAATTTAAAGTGATCGTCCATTTTTCCGACTGCCATTGACACCTAAAAAAGGCATACGGATTTCAAATGAACCTTCGCTTGGCAAATTTTTGGGTGGCGTACGGGTTTCTTCATTTAAAAAAAAAGACACTACAGCATTACTTTGAGCTACTTCATCACCTTTTTTCTTGTGTATTTCTTATTGGCAAGTGTTCGTTCTGTTTTAAATTATTTAAAGGTGCACGCTAACGTGAGTTGGTACTATAATGTGTTGGAATCGGTTTCGGAGAGCGAGGCCTGGGAACCGGGAAGGAAACCAAGTTGTCAGAAAAGTTTTTCTGACATTCCCACGTTGTCCGGATGTGGTGTTGGTGACGGAGATGGTCATCACGCTCCGTTAAAAGCATTCCTATCGGCTCCTGCTCCCAGGAGCTACTCGATTTCAAGGTTGGTCGTTGATTTGTATGACCATCACGCACTTGAAGCAACTTTATTTACTTGGCTAAAATCTTGAGTCGATTGTCCCGCCTTTTTATGAGAACATTTCAAAGTAAGCTGTACGAAACTGAATTTTAAACCATATCTTTCGTCAATCTATCTAAACTTCCGTCCGTCTTCTGTTGAGTTTATCTTAGTGAGTTAGTTTGAGCAAAACTGCTGCAAAAAATTATGAATGAATGAACGGATTTGTCAGTGCCTTATGAGTTCTATTCCTTGTATTCCAGCGTAATTTTGATTGTTTGGCTGGAAAGTTTGGAAGATGTCATCTTGGAAGCTTGATCTTTTCCTCCTTGTCTTAAATCATGTATAGTAGCTGCGACAGTCAAGCTGGTCAGCTGGATTTTGAAGTATCCAGCTTCTTTCTTATGGGATCTCCTTTGTCGATAATTTTGGCATTCCGTCGGATTCAAAACTCTGAGGACAGGAACGGTGAGGACGAGTTAGAAGTGTTGTCAACATCAAGTTTCACCTAATTATTCATTTTTTAAATATTTTTGCAGGTATGCCACCGCGTCCTGCTTGCGGTCAGATTTACAATCTTTTCCATCCTGCTAATCCGGTGGCCTCGAGAATTGAGCCACTTTTGGCGACACGTTTTGCTCAGCTGCCGCCAATACCGATTCCGCGGTATTCAAAATATCCGATGGGCGATGGAACGCCGACTATTCTTTGTGAGTTGAAAATCTGCTGCGTTACCCTTGAATATGAAAGATGAAATAGGTTTTTCAATTTTTAAAATTTGTATCGTTTTATTCGCTAGTTTTTAATGTATAATTTTTTTTTAGTTATGCATTTTTGTTTTTTGATGCGGAAAAACTAACGAAGTTCCATCTGAATTGAAAAACTTGTCTGATGCTCGTATTTTGTGTGACTTTTGCTTAAATATCTAATTAATTTTATTCTTCCAGTGGAATATTTGCGGAGTGCGACGTTTCTCTTGTCCTGGGGTTCTGGCTCATCCGCCGAAGGTGGTTTTCAGTGCACTTCTTCCCTGAGACATCGGAGGATCTCAGATTCCATTGGAGCTGTGCCGGCGACGACAAATCCTGATTTTGCTGCGATCAGTGCAATCACTGCCAGTGTGTAACGAAAATATAATACTATAATTAAAAATATTCGTGAAATATATTTAGGATCATTTTGTATGCCCCTCGGATATCGAAATCTCGAAGATGCTATATTCCATTGATTCCTTTACTTTGAATATTATTCAATCCTTTATTTTCTCTCACTTCAATCCCCGATCGATCCCGACTGTAATTTTTGCTGTTTATTTCATAGACGTTCTTTGAAAATTGTTTTGGGTTTGGTCATTCCGGCTCGAAAAATGCAGTGGATTGCCTTGGGTATCTTACGTACAATCCATTATGGTTGCTCAAGTTAGTAATTCAAGTGGGGCATGTCTGAAAAATCCAGGAAGCTAAGTACAGTAGCATGTTAACATTAATAAAAACGTAGAAAGTGTATCTTCTCGCTTGGGTTGATGCAGATTTTCTCCTTTGTCCGCAGTTTCACAAAAATGGTGGGGCAACAAAAGAATTGATTACGCGCTGTACTGTCCGGAAGGATTGGCATCGTTTCCCACCGTTGCACTTCCCCATCTTTTCCACGCCTCGTACTGGGAATCCCACGACGTGATCGCCTTTATTTTGCGTCAAGTGAGATTACCATCGAGCAAGAATTTTGTCCAGGGTATGCAACGAATGTTGACATTATTTTTCCGTGCAGCTGGTTCACGCAGATCCTTCGGCTGATTCCGGAGACGAGAGAGAAACGAAGGTTTTTAGCCCGTGTCAACCTCGGGAACAATGGCTCAAGAAGAGAACGATTGTAAAAATTAAGGTAGTACAGTTATTTAACATGAATTACCGAATATGCTGAAGAGTGCCCTCATTTCATTAGAATTGTAGTGCGAATCATCGTGGCAATGATGTGATTGTAGCTGATGGAATGAACCAGGTGCTAACGGCGAAGTTTGCCTATGGACCGCTTGATGTCGTTGCCTTGACAGGTTCTTTAATCCTTTGTTAAAAAAAATTTCCATATGTGAAAAAAAAATTTTGGAGAAATTTTTCGCTCGCAGGAGAACGTGTTGATATTCATGCGATGGCGGATCCTGCTGTCGGCGAATGGATTCTCCTCGGAACTGAAACGACGGACAAAAATGGTCGTATCAAATTTACTGTTCCTGAAGATCATAGCTTTGGTTATGGTCTACATCCTATCAAAATGGTTGTCAGGTTCGTGTCTTCTTTCAAAAATTTCAAACTTCTGTTGAAAAAGTTGTGCGTCATTGAAAGTTTCTCATTGTCATAGAGGAGATCATACTTGTGCGGATATGCACTTGGCTGTGGTGCCGAAAGAAACGGAATGTGTGGTGTTCAGCATAGACGGTTCTTTCACTGCGAGTGTTTCGGTCACTGCGAAAGATCCGAAAGTTAGACCTGGTGCTGTGGATGTCGTAAGGTTTGTTATGCGAAGCGTCCGAAGTTGTGAAGCAAAATGTGTCTTTTTAGAGAGGGAAATAATAATTTATTAAATCAGACAAGGTGGGAGATTCTGAAAATTCCTTGCATCGTATTTTTTTTAAGGTTGCAGCTTCAAAGTTTTGAAGCATATTGCATCAATATACTTTGTTGTCAACCCTCCATAATTCGCCTCATTTGTTTGTGAAGCATGTGGCGGTTTAAACTCTTTAAAGAGGTTAGCGCGATTTAATGGAGGTTGGGGATTTATCGAAAAACCCAAAATAACGCGAAATTTAAGTAAAATAGAAAATAAAATTCGTGCTCTTCTAGAAAAAAAAATCAAAATAACCCTGGGGTGCGTGAATTATATCTAGCTAATGTACCCCAGGAGTAATTTATGTCGTCTTTGTGTTCGTGTTTTTAATTGGAGACCTGTCGTTAAAGAAATTTCTGATCTTCTAATCATATGAAATTTTGAATCTCTGAATTTTGAATGTTGTTTTTTCACGTTTTAGATTTTCTTTTTAATTCCTCTAGACACTGGCAAGAGCAAGGCTATTTGATAATTTACATCACCGGTCGTCCGGACATGCAGCAAAGAAGAGTCGTTTCCTGGTTGGCGCAGCATAATTTTCCCCACGGATTGCTTTCATTTGCAGACGGAGTTTCGAAGGAATTTTTAACTCACAAAGCCGAATATCTCTCTCATCTAGTCAAGGTCCTTCTCTTTTGGAAATTTGCGGTCTCTCAGTTCCGGTTTTAACTGATGAAGTCGTTCTTGTGGTGCAGGATGTCGGATTGGTTGTCCATGCCGGTTACGGTAGCAGCAAAGACGTGGTTGTTTACCAGTCTGTGGGACTGAAGCCGGAACAGATTCATATTGTGGGCAAAGTTTCGAAGAAGCAGGCTCATGCCTGCAACGTAAGCGACATTTTTTTTAAAACCCTGTTCAATATCTTCAACTTGCCTTCCTCATCGGGTTCGTCGATGACCAACGCAATTTGAACTCTCAAACTTTGTATGACCTCGATTTGATTTAAGATTATGAGTGCGCCACTCCATCCGTCTTGGCGATATCATATTCTTTAACGATTTCGAGGTAATCGTGGTATTACTGTACTAATACCACTACATCAATCGTGAAAATTTGGCCTATACTGCAAATAGAGCTTCATTAGAACGGTGACGTATTCCAGGAAATTTAGATTTAAAAATATTTGGAAACTAAAGCCCTAGTCAAGGCCGATTAAGTATATTAAAAATGGATGTACAGTAGTTGAGTATTAGCAAGAAATATATTAGAGAAAAATGTTTAAAATTGAAATGAATCCGATATCAATGTATCAGAGTGAACGACTTTTTACATTCAATGTATACATTTAAAACATATCCTGAAGATTAACGTATGTTTTCAAGAAAGAGTTATGCAAATTGTGAAGTTTTTTTGAATTACAGTATTTTACACTTAGGGTTGGAGGTGGATATTGTTTTGTTAATGAATAAATTATCAGAAACATGCATGTTGGGCGTGCATTGAAACGTTGGCGGAATATTTCGCCTCGATGATAGAAAAATTTACGTTGCTCGAACCTTGAATAATCTTTTCGTGTGGTTGCCGCGATTGCCAAAACCCCGTTGATTATGTCGCAATCGTTTTTTTTTTTTTTCGGTAGAATTTAAGCGAAGGATATGCTGTGCATTTGAATGCCTTGATGGCTCCTGGAGGTTCCAGACCAGCTCAGGGTAACGCGAGGATGCTGATACCCAGAGGATTCTTTTCATTCCCCGGACAAGTCACCCGTTTGAACCGCAGAAGGTTTGTTCGACAATTGGAATAATAATTTGGTGACAATTTTGTATCGCTATAAGTTTATTCACCTTCTAGCCGATCAGTTAGGCGCACACCATCTTTCCCTGGCACATCTGCTCCCACAACACCGGTTCCGTCGTCTGTGCATCATTCTCCCAAAAACAGGTTATTCATGAGAATGTAATTAAAATTGGAAAAGCACAAAAGACCAGCTCTATTCATACGCCCGGATGTTTGAATTTTCGCAAGCGAACTTCGGGATGATCTCCGTAAAGTTGGACGTTTGGTTGGCAACTTGTAGTATTTCTGCGTGCAAACTTTGCGAAGGCATGAATAGCCTCTCACGGTCGCTGTTGTTCCCCTCGATATACTGTATGGCATTAAACGTTTATTTCAACGCTGAAAGGGTAAACCTGTAATTTTCAACTGAAGGTTGATGTTGAATGTTTTAATGCATGTGAAATATTTCAATTTAAAACTTTGTTCTACTGATTTACGCATTTTCCTCGAAATAGTCGGTTTGAATGCGTCAGATCAGCATTCTGAATGTATGCAATAAGTCAATTTAATGACATGTTTGCCACTTTTTGTGAAGAATCTGCGGCCGAATAATATACTGTATTGAAATCAACGCTTTGGAAAAAGTTTGAAAAGGAATCGATTACCTGAGTATCAGAAAATTTTTGGTTAGAAATTTTTGATGGGCGAACTGAACTAAAACTCAATCTGGACTTGAATTATTCTTGCGTAATCCGTTATGAAAAATGTGCAGCAGATGGATGATACGAAGGGTGGTTCACAATTTTTGTCACATTTTCTTCTTCCCTTCCTGAATTTATGAAGATGGATGCTGTGAGGCTTAATCTTCGTTAATTGAGTAAACTTCATTTCATTTTGGCAAAAATGAAATTGGGATAGGAAACGACGAGGTCGAGCTGTATGAGGAAATAAGATTCACCGTGAATATTTTATGAATTTCCCGGTGGTCTGAATAGCTTCGAGTAATCTCAAATATTCCCCCTGACTGAATTTTCGAAAAAGTTTAAATTTTATTGTGTGCTGGTATTGAATTAAATCCCGAAGCAGCTATATATAAAGGCTTTCTTTACGTATTTTATCAATTCAGACCTTCAGGGTTCTGGAATATTCTGCTTTTACAAGAAAGAAAAAATTGTTAACCCAAACGTATTCGTTCCAAGGTACTGCCAAAATTTATGAACCATCCTTCGATTCTTTATAAATTTCAAAAATAATGTGATGAAAAACTTCGTCTTCAATAAGAAAAATTTCGAATCAAGAATTGTTTCTTAGAATAGCCCGCGCTTTCGAAATGCAGCATTTAACTGAGGACGGTTTCTTTGTTCTGCACTCTCGAGAAAACTCCGCGTTTCTTTGTTCGCGATAAATCAATGGGAATAGGAATCGATAATGGAACCTGAGTTAGTATTCCTTGATATATGGTCCTTATTTTGCGTATACAGCTTCCCGGAGAGATTGCGCCTGATACAGATGCGGCTTGAAGTGTCGAAGCTCTTTCGTCTTGGTTCAACGTTTGCTTCTCCCGAGTTGAAAAGAAGGTTTGATTTGTTAGTTTTTGCAGTTTTGGTTTGGTTTATTGCTGCATGTGATTTTCTCCCCGTTTGCGTAGTTTCACATGATCGTAGTCTGGAACCTCTTTGGATGCCGACGGACTGCTAAATCCTTGTTTAGCATCCGAACTGCTTGTGTCTTGCTTAGATCCTTTCGCACCAAGTTGGAGGAATCGAAAAGTCTGTATCCGATTAAGCCTGAAGGTGAAACTTCGTGCGACAGGTGAATCGACGATGAGCAGTTCGTGGCATTTTCCTCTCGTGTTTTTGATCTCACCTGAAGTTGCATGAGAAAACCCAAGTTACCCATGCATTTTTGAAGCAGTGATTTTTGAGATTGGTAAGCTTGAGCTGAGTTTTTGAAGGGATTTGTAACCTGCAGAATTACGAGCATTTATATAGAGCTTGCAGCATGGCATCTTGGTTACACCCGTGATCGAGGCCGTTGATTGATGTGGTGAAAGATTCCCGGAAATACAGGCTCTGCATATTCTGACGAATTGATTTTTGATTTCTTTGTGCAAGCTATTTACTGCATTTTATTTTTCTACAGATTCATGGTGTAGGTTAATTTTTCAGTTGCGATGTCGAGGTAAGCAACGATGTTTGTCTTACGTTTGAGCATCTAACTGCGACAATTTTCGAACTGAACCTTTTTCTAGATGAATAACTATAGAACAAATTACTTCTGCATGATATCCTTACAAGGATATTGAGAAATAGGAAAGTTTTAAGTCGAGAAGTTTCAATCAGATTTTTCAATAGTAGCTGATGCCGATCCAACATATTATTGATCATATCGGGGCAGCACATTTTGAAGTTTATAAATCTGTATTTTTAAGATTGGATCTTTGCACGTGGAGGTTACCTCCAATATACTGTATGACCCGATTCTTCATCCGCAGCGCGAAGATGACAGGTCGTTATGCGGCTGCTCGGCATATGAGAACTTTAATAAAGTATATTTTTCCACGAATTAATGCATTCTTCTTCTAATGTTGGTTGAATTACATCTTGGTTGCCATAAAAGTGGGTCAAAGTGCACAACCGCAGATCATATATATGGACTGCGAGAATTATTGTTCGGACATAATGATTATGTTCTTGTTTCTGAGTAAAATTCATGGAAAAATTCCTCTCTTGTTATTTTCCGATACAGTAATACTGTAAAACATTTTTGTAAATCCTGGAGTCTGTGGGGAATGAAATACAAAAAAACTTTCGAACAAGAAATTGTTGATGAACTGATGTAGCATATAGGATATTAATTAACATGTCATATTCAGGGGGCTAGCTGTACAGGGAATTTCAGCAAGATGAACTACAGTACAGTATAGTGTATGACTGTACATCTTGTGTAGAGTGCATATTTGGAGTGCTTCAGTGAGCATACTGCGGTGATATTTGTAAGAATGAGCTCACTAATTCCTGTACGGTATTTGATTATGGTTGTTTCTTCCATGTTACGCGCGATCATGCAGTTAGTAATGGATGTTCACGGTTGATGGAGTACTGTACAGTTTGCATGCATGGATGTCCGTGCGATTACGGTATAGCGAGTACCCACATTTTTTGGTAGCTATCAGTTATACTGTACCAGCAGCACATACCTGGAAGATAATAAGGTGGTCTTTAACTCAACCACGTGAGGCATCCATACCCAGGGCTGAAGACATGCGGGAGCAGAAGGCAGCCCTAGCGAGTTGTAAACGCGAATCAATGAGTTGCCCGCCTATGTGGGGGGTCACGCTGGTTTCTCGTGGGTTGCGGTGCTTAGTCAAGTTAACAAGAATAGACGAGTCCAGTAGTCTCCCAGGATCTATTATTTCAGGGAATGGTAATTAGCACCTGCTTTGTTTTGTGCATTTAACCCCAAGTTCGAAAGTTTTCATTCGCGCGTAGGCCATGCGAAGCACGTATTGGGTCCAGTGGTTAAACGTATACCTGATGGCATTTCCACGAATTAATGCATTCTTCTTCTAATGTTGGTTGAATTACATCTTGGTTGCCATAAAAGTGGGTCAAAGTGCACAACCGCAGATCATATATATGGACTGCGAGAATTATTGTTCGGACATAACGATTATGTTCTTGTTTCTGAGTAAAATACATGGAAAAATTTCTCTCTTGCTATTTTCAGATACAGTAATACTGTAAAACATTTTTGTAAATCCTGGAGTCTGTGGGGAATGAAAAGCAAAAAAAATTTCGAACAAGAAATTGTTGATGAACTGATGTAGCATATAGGATATTAATTAACATGTCACATTTAGGGGGCTAGCTGTACAGGGAATTTCAGCAAGATGAACTACAGTACAGTATAGTGTATGACTGTACATCATGTGTAGAGTGCATATTTGGAGTGCTTCAGTGAGCATACTGCGGTGATATTTGTAAGAATGAGCTCACTAATTACTGTACGGTATTTGATTATGGTTGTTTCTTCTATGTTACGCGCGATCATGCAGTCAATAATGGATGTTCACGGTTGATGGAGTACTGTACAGTTTGCATGCATGGATGTCCGTGCGATTACGGTATAGCGAGTACCCAACATTTTTTGGGCTATCAGTTATACTGTACCAGCAGCACATACCTGGAAGATAATAAGGTGGTCTTTAACTCAACCACGTGAGGCATCCATACCCAGGGCTGAAGACATGCGGGAGCAGAAGGCAGCCCTAGCGAGTTGTAAACGCGAATCAATGAGTTGCCCGCCTATGTGGGGGGTCACGCTGGTTTCTCGTGGGTCGTGGTGCTTAGTCAAGTTAACAAGAATAGACGAGTCCAGTAGTCTCCCAGGATCTATTATTTCAGGGAATGGTAATTAGCACCTGCTTTGTTTTGTGCATTTAACCCCAAGTTCGAAAGTTTTCATTCGCGCGTAGGCCATGCGAAGCACGTATTGGGTCCAGTGGTTAAACGTATACCTGATGGCATCAATTCCTGGCCGCAAACAACTTTGTGATCAGGCATAACTATCGGATTCAGTGGTAGTGTCGGTAGCTCAAGGTTGAGCCAAGGATGCACCGTCGCGACAAGATCACGGCCGTGAATACGTGTTGCAGCGGAAGCTTCCCCTTCGTGTGAAGGGAAGATCGTTCGAAAATGCATCCCAGTCTTTCCATACATGTGAGACGGGAATAGTCGTCTGCCCATAATCNCGTCTTTGCTGTGTTTGTGGCGTGCAATCTGTTGGCGATTTTGTACACATTGCTTTTCGTTTCCAACGTGTCGAACGCCAACCCAGTGAATGACAAGGCAGTCAACTCCGCGATTTCAAGTTACTTCACTCCGAGACATATGTGGGACAGCTGCAAAACGTGTTTCGTCGCTCGACCGCATCATGGCCGACGGAATCTGCTGTGTTTAGCTGCAGCTGCTTTTTTGATATTTCTCACTACCGCAGGTGATTCGGCTTAACGTTTTTGATCCGTAAGCATTTTAGTGAGTCACGAAAGCAGCATTTTGCTTTCAACGTGAATGTTGAAGTGATTTTGTGAGGTAACTTTCAGATTTTCAAGGATATCCTTGAAATATTGGGAGTCGACCACGGATTATTGCCCTACAAATTCCTCTCTCTTTTTTGTCTTACGCGAATCTCAGCTAAATGTATTTATCAACATGAAAGAATACTGTGGTGAACGATGTCCAGCAGAAACAAAAACCCTGCGAACAAAAACGGAGAAAAAAATTAGAAGGAATTTAAGAACGGGCGTTTTCATAATTTGACCGAATAACAAAACGGTAAAAGGTAACTTGAATATTTTGTTATTTTTTTGTATAGTGACCAGATTCCGTGAATTGTGGAAGTAAAACTTGAACCGGGATGAGGAGGTCGTATAGTGATGGAGAAGAAATACTGGAATTTTCAATATGCATGATTCTCTATTGCTTTTCACATATCTAAAAATCTGCCTTACTGTATTTCTCAACTACCATGTGCACATTTTTCTCGAAATCAAGAGGGAAAAAGGAGAGTTGGCATACATTTTTCAAAAAGTTGAGAACATATATGTGCGTCTTATAATATACTTAATTCCAAT